GTAACGTTATAACTCAATTGAATGTACGTTCCTTTTTATTCTAATAAGTAAGATTCAACTGAGTTTTTACTTATAATCTGCATAAAGCTCGAAATCGTATGCTTTACTGAGTCTATAAATTCACATTAAAAGTGAGGTATAAGTATAAACCTATACTTTTACGCTCAATAACTTTCTACCAAAGTGAACAAGTAATAACATCATTATCTGAGTATAAAAATACTCACATAACTTTAGATTCAGTATCATTTATGTGAAAATGGAAAGTAACTATTTAACCGATTGGAAACAAGATGGCGGATAGGAATACCTACATCTTATAGTGCCTTAATGACGTTTAGAGTGGGTAAAAATAGAGTGAAGCCAATACTGGTTCATATTCCTGATTGGCTCCATTTTACGATCAGTTTCCGGCCATGGTGGAAGTATCCTTCCACCATGGTTTCCGGCAGCCAGACTGCCTGACACACATGGACATAACCTTTTGAGAAGTTTGTTTTCATATAGAGTCTAGTGGTAAGTTGTTTTTACTTCATAATTACTAAAAGACGAATTTTAAAATACTTAAAATGCTTAATTGTCTATTTAGAATATATTTATAATAGTCACATATGCTACAAAAGGATGTAGGAACTCGAATGCAAATGGATAAAAAAATGTGCAATTTTCCAAAAAATCCACAGCAATTACATACATGTCTGGCAAATTGTGGATTGGAAAATAAAAAGTTTAATTATTGTGCTGCATTATGCGAGGTGCGTTATGTTTTTTCTACTTTTGTATAATTTGAAACATTATTTACTGAAATCAGTAACTGCGGATCAGAAATAGAATAATAAAAAAGCTAAGTTAATTACTTTTATTTTTCAGTTTCACTTTACAGCTGACATGTGGGAGAAACAACAAGTTAATGAATCAAAAAAATTAAAATCGTTTGCGGTGCCAACAATATTTGGCGAACATGTAACACATCAAAAGCGTCAGAAAATCACTAATAGTAAGTAGAAAAAATCGTTCACAAGAATTGCAGTGAAAGAGTGTTGTTAATATATAACATTATGTGAGATAACGTATCTGTGATGTTGCGATCAAGTTCTTACAATTTTGTGTTAACATGTCAAATC